AAACTGTTAAAAATATCAACTTTCTTGTCTGGCATAGCCACGAGATTACCATTTGCATCTTGCACTGGCCCTACATTGCCTGGTGCCATCTTCTTGCTCCCAATGTACTTGAAAAAGGACTTTTTGTTGTCCTTAATCCTGGACGCTAGCCTGAGTTCCACCTCTGCCTTGGCCTTCCTAATAGCCCTCCTACACTCACGGGCCGAGGAGGAGTACTCCTCCTTGGTGATGTCTCCTCCCTTCCACTGGTTATATGCCCCCCTTTTAGCCCTCAGGCATTGCTGAATGTCCTTGCTGAGCCAAGGGGGTTTCCGAGCACTCTTTTCCCCCCCACCCCCTTGCTTCTCTCAGGGACTGTTATCCTTTGGGCCTGTAGGATCGCCTCCTTAAGGTACGACCATCCCTCGTGGAGTCCCATCTTCTCTACCTTCTGGGCCCTCAGGCCTCCCCCACTAGTCTCCTAAGCTCATTGGCCCTTCTGAAGTCAAGGGCATTAGCCTTGGTGTAAGCCCTTGACACCCTGTGTTGGATAGTGAAATCCAGCAGGTGATGATCGCTGTTGCCCAGGTGGTCAAGGACCTGCAGTCTCCTCACCAGGTCATCCCCCATGGCCAGGACCAGGTCCGGCAAGGCGTTATCCCTAGTGGGGCTGTGCACTTCCTGGATAAAGTGAAGGTCCTGTAATACAGCCAGGAACCTATGCAAGTGGTCAGACCTGGCTGTCTGCCCCTCCCAGCAAATGTCTGGGTAGTTTCTGTCACCTGTGACAATGACATCCCTTGACCTAACCACCTCCATAAGCTGACTGGAGAAGTCCTGGTCCAGCTCTTCCCCCGGTTGGGTGGTCTGTAGTAGATACCCACCGTAAGGTCCCTTTCACCACACCTCCCTTGTAGTTTGACTCATAGTGTCTCTGCCTGACCTTCCTCTACCCCGAAGCTAATCCTTGATGATGTGAGGTGCTCTTTGAGCATGTAGAGCATAAGCCCCCCCCCACCTTTCCTCTCTGTCCTGTCTCTTCTGTATAGGGTGTATCCCCAAATGCCTGCTGCCCAGTCATAGGGTCCCACCAGGTTTCTGTGAGCCCTACTAAGTCTGGGCTCTTACTTGCAGTCAGGAGGCACAGTTCCTCCTGCTTACTCCCCATACTACGAGCATTAGTGTAGAGGCACTTGAGGTCTCCTACGAGTGCACGTGCCTCACTCCCCCTCCCAGGACAGTTGTGGCCCCCTACTCCCAGGACATGGATGCTTACCTGGTCTTCCTTGGTAAGCTCCTACTTGCTCCTATTTAAGCCCTGCTGGTTCCGCTGTGCCACTTTGCCTGGCTCCACTCCCTCAGGTAACTGCTGTTTACCTCCCTGCTGCAGTAGCTGCGAGATGCTGCAGCTCAGATCCACACTACTTCCTGGACAGCCCCTGCCCAAGCCTCTTGCCTGACAGCGGCCCTGGCTCCCTATGCTGCCCTGCCCTTTGCCACAGGACAACTTAATAGATATAATTAGAGGAGGTTAAATGGGTAATTTTTTAAACAGTATTTATATCCATAGTTCAGATATACCCTATGTAGCTGCAGAATGTCACTGCAGGGTACATTTGGAGGACTGGAGGGAAGATGGAAGTGTGTCGTGACATGACATTAGACACTTAGGAATAGCTGGGACAATTTGGGGCGAGTTAAATTACTTGCTCAAAATGGAATTTCTGTTGCCTTGACTAAATAGTTTTAGCTGAGAAAAATAATTTAGGCCTAAATCCATGAAGATGTTTCTCCATTTATTTCCCTGTGGGGAGAGCACTTGTCCAGGATTTGTGGGGCCTGGGTTCAGTTTCTTTTACTATCTGAGAGGATTTTAATCTGCGTCACCCAAGCGAGTGCCATAATCACTCTGCTACAGGGTAGTCAGGCTGGAGGAGTTGGGGAGGAAGCAGCTTTCACATTCTCCTTGAAGTTTTGTGCAAGTGAAAAAGAATTAAACTTTCACTAGAATAGAAACTGACCTTCCCTTATTTCTACTCCCCCACTGAGTGTCCTGATTAACCAGGCTAGTGAGTGTCTTGCAGTGATTATGTTCATGTGTGTGTTATGCAAAGTAAAACTGCTCCAGTAGGAGAAGCTGAAGGAGATTATCCCAGAATACTATGTAGCCTGGTGATCAGAGCAGTCATTTACCACAGAGAGGGGACGTGGGAGACTTGAATTCTAATGGTCTAGGAAGAGGAAGGAACTGAACTCGGGTCTCCCTTACCCTATAGTTAATCACTACTCCAGTATTTAGAGAATTAAGTGCAGTAGAAACAATAATAAAAAAGAACTGCTCAATATATGGCTTGCTGGGGAGAAACCAACATGGTTTTGTCAACAGAACATCATGCCTCACCAGCCTACTAGATTTCTTTTGAGGATGTCAGTAAGCAGGTGGATCAGGGTGATCCAGTTGACATACTATTTTTGGATTTCCAGAAAGCCTTTGACAAGGTCATGGTTTCATAGTTTCTAGGGTCAGAAGGGACCTGAGAAAATCATCTAGTCCAACCCCCTGCCATGGCAGGAAAGAGTACTGGGGTCAAACAACCCCAGCAAGGTGTTCATCTAACCTCTTCTTAAAAACCCCCAGGGTAGGAGCCTGTACCACCTCTCTTGGAGGTTGGTTCCAGACCCTAGCTGCCCTGACTATGAAATAGCGCCTCCTGATATCTAGCCTAAACCTACCCTCTGCCAGCTTGTGACCGTTATTCCTGGTCACTCCTGGCTGTGCTCGGGGGAACAGTGAGTCCCCCAATGCCTGCTGATCCCCCCTGACTAGTTT